GTGTGTGTGTGTGTGTGTGTGTGTGTGTGTGTGTGTGTGTAGGAGGGTATTCCGTATGTGGGGACTATTTTTGGCATACACACCTACTTGTGGGGACCAACTGGTACTTATGGAAACCTGAGCCTAGTCATCAGGAGGGGAAATGCTGTTGGTAGGTCAGGTATGTACCTGGGAGGTTAGGTTTAGGGATCAGTGGGACGGACGGACGGACGGTTTAGGGGATTAAGGTGTACATACTTGTCACAAATTGAAATGGTAAAAAGTAACACTGCACATTTTTTGTGTTTTAAGTTGGTCATGCAATCTTAAGTGAAAAGTTACACTTTTCAAAATAAAGCAAAACATTAAAAAAAATCTGTTTCCATAATTTTCAATCTGCACAAAATTTGATCATCACAGGAACACTGAGATTGAGGTGGTTCTTAAAGAGACAGAGACCAATTCCAAGGCATTTAGAAACATACGTATATGATGAGAAGTCAAGTGTATTTTTGATTTAAACATAAAAACAGCATTTTAATAACAACTGAAGGTGACACTTACTTTATTATGGTATAGAATTTAAATATATGCMTSAGAAACACATAATGCCCCTTTAAGTCTTTGTTTAGATTAGTCTTCCTGTTTTTAACATGAACTTATCTCATTTAAGACCGATATTAGTGTGCTTCACTCTTAGTGCCTTTGTTCTATTAATGGATTTCTACAAAAATACTTTAAATTGTTTTGGACAAAAGTGTTTCTAGTTTATTGTAAGAAATATTTTCAATTCAATGAACTAGCACACATAATACAAGTAACAACTAAAAAGCTCAGATTAGATCAAAGATGTTTCAAAGCCTTGTCCCTGAAGTGGTGACTATGTAGAGACTAAATATGCTTGACAGTTTTTATAAAAGTTTTATAAATAAGAGGATATAGATTTCAGGTGTTCACCTTGAGTGTCACTGGTTCAAATCCCTGCCTGAGTGCTTACTGTGGTTGTGTCCCTGGGCAAGGGTCTCTGTTTTTGTATATTGTTCTTCATAATGCTCTGCACACTTTCAATGGGAGACAGGTGTGGACTGCAGACAGACCAGTCCCACACTCTATTACTGTGAAGCCACACYGTTGGAACACGTGCAGAATGTGGCTTGGCATCGTGTTGCAGAAAAAAGCAGGGACATCACTGAAAAAGACGTCACTGTCAATATTTTGTTTTTCTCTGACACTGGTGTCCTTGAGTGTCATGAAAGGTGCCTTAAAAATGTATTATCATTGTTATTATTATTTGTAGTAGTAGTAGTAGTAGTAGTAGTAGTAGTAGTTAAATAAATCTCTGGACCTGGCTGCATTTGTGTCACAGCTTCAGTCACTTATTCACCTCGCTCATATTTTGTGTCTCTGTGACACCTAACGGTTCATTTAGTTTGAGTTTCTCACAAAATTTATTTATGTAAGCAAAGCATTAGTTGTGAAATTATTTCCTTAGGTTTATTTGTAGTTCTAAACATATTTAGAGTGTTTTTGCTTACTTTTTTCTTTAATATTCTCTCCTTTAGGTGATTTTGTCATTTAGTGAGTTCTAGTGGCTTTTAGGACAGCCAATAGTGACTTTTCTTATTCAGTTCAGTTCAMAAATACTTTATTCATCCCAGAGGGAAATTAGATGTTATTAGTTGATTAGATTATGAAGGAATTGGCAACAGTGCATGAGTGTCTCTGTTGTTTATCTATTTTCATTCACTTCAGCTGTTTCCATAGATAAATGATAAATTGACTGTACTTGTATAGCACCTTTCTATCCAACCAGGACACTCAAAGCTCTTCACACAATCTGTGTCTTCATTTACCCATTCACACAGCACTCTGTTAGGTCTCTACAAAGCTAACATGTACAATCATCTACGGAGACTAATCAGTGCCAATCACATTCAGACACTGATGGGACACACAKCAGAGGTGTTAGGGGTGAAGTGTCATGCCCAGAGATACTTTGACATGTGACTGATTGGCGGGAAATCGAACCATCAACTCTCTGGTTAGAGGACAACTCCCTTAACCACTCAGTTAGCTACCCATGAACAAACCTATCTGATAGTTGTCATTTATTTTGCCTACAAATTTAATTTCAGGGTTGGGCTGCTATCATAAATATAATAAGAAAATTTTCTGTTTTTTTTTTTTATTATATAATATTTTTGATGGCTTTTTTGACTTTTCAATGAGCAGCTTTAATTAAGTGGTGTCTCTCTTATGGCTTTTCAAAAAAAAAAAACAGATATGAAAAATGCCCAAGAATTAAGACATGAAAGAACATTCAYTTTAAGTACAAAGTTAGATCAACCTTCTCTCTTACTTTATTGTATACAGTATTTTAATGGTGCCCTAACACCTGTCTTCCTTCTGTCTTTTTTCTACCTGCAGTTTTCTGAGCCACTAGGCATTCACTCATTCACGGGTCCTCCTGTGGTCAGAGTAGTTTTTCTAAATATTTTTTGTCTCTGTGTTTTTGTTGTAGGTAAAATTAAATACTCTGAACGGGTTTATGATGCATGTATGGAAGCCTTTGACTGCCTGCCCCTTGCTGCCCTGCTTAATCAACAGTTCCTGTGTGTACACGGCGGTCTSTCACCAGAAATCAACTGCTTAGATGACATTAGAAAAGTCAGTGATCTGATATTATTAATTATTTCAAGTCATTACAAGATTGTATTTTGATACTACGATTTTATTGATGGTATATGATGTGAACATTTGACATTTCACCTTTTATCATGCTCATTTTTAGTAYTTTTTAGTATTCAAGGAATCAGGTTCCTTTAACAAACATGTTATATGTTCAACAGTTAGACAGATTTAAAGAGCCTCCAGCATTTGGGCCAATGTGTGACCTGATTTGGGCTGACCCAGGTGAGGACTACGGCAGTGAAAAGACATCTGAACACTTCAATCATAACTCTGTCAGAGGCTGCTCCTACTTTTTCAGGTATTGAATCAAATCAGTCCTCCTCTACACTCTAGGTAGTTTTTTAAATTAATCTTTGAATGGCCTTAAAATTTGTTTAACAATATTGATCAGGGTAACTCAGTACACAAAAAACCAATGTTTTAAAAGATCACAGACTTGTGTTGGATACTACTACCATGTTTGATGAAATGACACAGTGAAAATAAGTAGAAATGTATTCCCTTAAGGCCAGCTACAGGTAGTTGATAATTTGAAGCCTCAAGCTGTTCTAATAATTTGGTTTTGKAGTAAGCTTTATTGTGATATAATGCCCTCTTTTTTTCTGTTTGCAGTTATTCAGCAGTTTGCGACTTCTTGGTAAATAATAACTTGCTTTCAGTTATACGAGCTCATGAAGCACAAGATGCTGGGTAAGTGCTGTATTTAAAGTTAGTATAATGGATATTATAGTATGGAAACTGTATAATTTAGGCTTTATCTTTCTGGCTGTTCAGGTATCGGATGTATAGGAAAAGCCAGACCACAGGCTTCCCTTCATTAATCACAATCTTTTCAGCTCCTAACTATCTAGATGTCTACAACAACAAAGGTTTTTATCTTTGTTTCCTTCTTTTATATTTTTGTGGTTTTGAAGATGTAGTTCTCTTTTGAGCATTTGCTTAGTATCTCACGACAAGCTGAGATTCTGACCTATTTAGACCCCCAAAAGCTCCTACCGGTAATTTTTATGCTATGATTGGCTGGCAGGATGACCCTGATGTCCAGAGGAGATATATACACTATTGCCAAAAGTATTTTCTCACCCATTAAAATGATGACACCAGTGTACAAAGCAAGCTCCATAAAGACCTGGATGTCAGAGTCTGGTGTGGATGAACTGGACTGACCTGCACAGAGTCCTGATCTCAACCTGATAGAACATCTTTAGGATGAATTAGAGCAGAGACTGAGAGCCAGGCCTTCTGTCCAACATCAGTATGTGACCTCACARATGTGCTTCTGGAAGAATGGTCAAAAATYCCCATAAACMCTCCTAAACCTTGTGGRCAGAAGAGTTGAAGCTGTTCTAGCTGCAGAGGGTGGACCAACATCATATTGAACCCTATGGATCAGGAATGGGCTGTACCTTAAGCTCATATGTGAGTCAAGGCAGGTGAGACAATACCTTTGGCAGTATAGTTTACTGGGTGTATAGGTCATGTACTGTGTCACTCAGTTATTCCATAACCTCTCTTTGCTTTCACTCTTCAGCAACATCATTTGTATTTAGCCTAACAGTGCAAACAGAGCTGGGAACTCAGTGACTGGGTGTTTTTTCCTACACAAATTGTACTATTTTTCCTGTCACTTTACTGTAATGCCAAACTTTGAACGCTAAACTCTGTTGACTAGGCTGTCAGCACACAGAAAGCCAACCAGTCCCCAAAGTCAACTGTCAACAAATAATTATCACAAAGGACTTACATCAGACCCACTTCTTCACACACTAGCTTCACACTAGAAGTTTCCACTAAACAGGTTTCAGTGCTAAACCAGGGTGTGGTGCTAGAGCTGGTTCCTAACTGGACCTAAAAAAAACCTGTTTGGTTTTCCTCAGCCAGAGAACAAACTCAGAGCTACATCATTACGCCACATGAAATGTCTCTTCTGGTAAATAATTGAACCTCCCTCTGATCTATTCTAAGTTTATGTAAAGACTGACAGAGCAGCGAGACTCTATACTGTATCTGCACAAATAACAGAGTATGTGCAGTTTTCTTGCAAACGAGTGTCTTAATATCACCAGTCCATTTTAAAAACGCTGGTTTAAATGCCAGTTGCTATTTGTGAATGCTCTGCTGGTCTCCAGCTCCTGACAAATTGGTTCTTTTTTTGCCACTTCAGTAGAAAACAAAACTGAATGTTAGTTTCTTAATTTCTGCATCATCAGTGTCTTATACATATATATACATACATACA